CGTGACCAGTGTTTGCCCTGGAATAGAATATCTAAACACCATAATGAAATTTTTAACAATGTCACGGCTCACATTTTTTTGCTCCTGGTTGATGTCCAAAATGCCATTTATGAAATAATCCGAATTCTTTCTCATGTAGAGGATGCTGCGTAGCTGTGCATAGCTGCCATAGTATCTGATGTGCACTATGTTCTGAGAGGAGACAGCAGAAACTAATAATGCCGTCAGCCATAATTAACTGAGGAAGATGAAGTACGTGCTATATTTAAAAAAGGGCAAGCCAAAGTAAATCTGATACAACAGGTTCACGCTCGTCACCTACAGCTGCCCGCAATTTCTTTACCTGAGGTTGTTTCCTGTCTCCTCTAAAACATCAAAACAAGTCTGCCTGGGTTAATAGATTAGGCTCACAATTAAACAGCATAATAATATTGACTATACGGAAATGACACGGTAAAAACCTTTGATAAACTTAAAAGTCGAGGTGGAATGAATCGAAATATCGATTTTATCATAAATGTGGCTTTGAAGATAAACAAATTTGAATATCAAGTATAACGTTTCTTATGAAAAAAGCAAACAGAGCTGATTAAAAATGAGGACAGATGAAACATTGGTTGTAAACTTCCAAATAAGGGTATAAAGTGAAATTTTTCAGCAATTTTGTCATTTCATCTAAAAATAACCTAAATTTTCAAGATTAGCAATGCTTCTCCACTAATTTTACTAGTTGGCCATAAAATCTCAATTAAAAAGTCAGGTTCTAGAGAATTCTATGCTGCTTTTATCATCAGAAATATAAAAAAAAAACACACTCAAAATATTCTTGCTTAAATAATCAAAATCAATCAAAAAAAATATTTGTGATATATTTTCATATCTTATAATATAATTATATATATTTATATATATATATTATTTTTTTAAGTTTGATTTGACTAAACTCCTTTTAGTGAACTCTTAGCTACTTCCACTTTAGCCTCTCCCTTAAAGGTCCTCCTCACTTTTTTCATGGCACAAAACTAAATGAATCTCTTACTTTGAAATGCACCTTGTTTTGTTTCTTCTAAATGTGATCAAATCATGTATTCTAATCTCCCTTTCATACCTCTACTTTGAAGACTCAGGGAACAGATGCTACGAGTCGCATACTTCATCAAAACTGAACAAAGCATGATGAAAATGGTAAATATGTTGTGAATTAGCAGCATGTGTGTTTTGAAGCCCCGGGCTGTGCTTCTCCATATGTTTCATTTACAGTCATCCCCATCACTGTTTTCATAACCGGACACAGACACAGGCAAAAAAGAAACATATCCAACAAAGTCAAAACATACACTTTTTCTTTCACAAAATATAATGTGAAAGAAATATCTAAAATGATTGCAGCAAATTACTGTAAACACTTTTCATTTTGTTTAAAGGCACACTTTGTACTGGGGATGTTATTGCTTTGACTAGACTATTCTATAATATGACAATAGACAAGTAAGTGACACCAGCAGGTTAACTAACAGGTCAGATCTGTGGATAGGTGCACTGTTCACAGTAGAACAAAGTAAAAGCATTACTTAAGGTGACAAAAATACTTCTAACTGAATTATGCGCAAAGTTTAATGCCATACTCTGGAACATTCCTGGCAAAGCAAAAACATCTCCATGAGGAAAAGTTACATAATTCTCCTTTAAGATATATTTTTTCAATAGCTTTGCTGCCGAATGACAAATCCACTATATGTCATTCTCCTTTCATTTGTATTGATATAAAGGTTACTAAGGACAGCAGCGAGGACCCTATTCAGACATACAGCTCTAGTACGAAGCTTTATCACCCAACATCTGCTAATACATCCATATTTCTACAACGTTCTTATTCTTGCCATGACTGCCAAGCAACTTTGTTATAGATATGAGAGATCCTAACTCAATCTTGATGGTGCAAACGCAGAGATATACAGCAGCACCACAGACAGGCCCCAGTGACTAATGGCCAAAATGACACCGGAGACAGCTGCATACAGGTTTTTTTCTGCACATTGGATAAACAGCAACACATAAGCAGCTGGTATGTATCTGTGAATGTATTTGACTCATCTCATTCACACGGCATGCACATAATATTATCTACTATCAAAGTCATGTGAGCTTACAGGCTGCACATAAACGCATTGAAATCATTGTCTCTTTTGCATTATTATTTAAATGTTAAACTGCGAAATGTATGCACTGGTAACACTTTAGTTTAGAGATCATACAATATTTACTAAGTGGTAACTTGTAAGATAGTTACTAGTTATTCAGGTTAGTATTCATTACACATATTTTAATTACTGTGTATGTACAAATGCATCTATTTCACCTATCAAGAGTTTAAATGGAAATACTGTACTCAAATAATACTAGTTGCCATTAATAAGTGGTTCCTAAACTAAAGTGTTACCATAATATAGCCCTGTTTTAATATATCAAGTTTTCAATGCATTTGTATTGGTAGTTTTGTAATTAATGACTTGATAGTGACGATGACGAATAAACTAATAATTAGCCTGTTAGCATTAGCCAGACAATATTTGTTCTTCTCACACTTGCATGTTGCCAACTGAAAGTAAGTGACAAATCCTACTGTGAGAAATGTAACTGACTTTATTCTCTCCATGTAAACATACTGTCAACAAAGATGTCCAAAAGTAACTGTGAAATGGTTTTAATAGTTAATCATGAAAAGGGATAAAGAGAGTCGCTCTGAGAAGGAGAGAGCATATAATTGCATAGCTCGTCTCTAGTGACATAACAGTAAGTCCCGGACATTTAGTTAAATATTTTGTGCCTCACTGTGCACCAAGGCAAAAAAAAAACATGTTGTCAATGTAAATCCCTAATATGCAACCGTTCAGCCCTGAAAACTATTTTCAATTCATTGATCAGCCACAACAAAGACGAGGAAGTAGCTTTGGAGGTGAATCCTTATAAGGAGAAGGTCGTGGGGTTAAATCCTCAGATGCACTTAATAGAGTAATAAGAAAATACATAGGGGACAGGGCTTATCGAGATTGAGATTCTGTCATGTCCAATCAAGAGGTCTATAGCTAATCCTTTGTTGGTAAAAGCATGTGGTTCAGAGCAGAGTTCAGACGTTACAGGTAAAAATTTGCAACAACTATTAAAAAAAATATTGTTTACATTCATGAAATCACTCCTGAACGACATGTTTTGTTTTTAAAATAAAAATACATAAATAATAATACATTTAAATTATTAATCAAGATCGATCAATTTGAGGAAAAAAGTGGTTCATTTTTTAACATATCGGCCAGGCCTAATATGTACTGTTACCGAAGTGCCCTTAGGCAAGAACATCTCGTCCACTTATCAGGAATCAGATGAAGACATAGAAGGCTCTGTCCTGCTGTGCTTTATACACGCCTCCACCTCACACGTTCCCCCCCACGACCTTTGCTGTAAATATATATAGGCAGTTCTGTCAGGGCTGTCAAGGATATTCACTCAAAATGTCTGCTTCAAGTTTTCGGATTGCTCCAGATTTGGCGTCTAGGAGTATTTGTATTGCCACATCTTCAAACAGTACCTTAACCCCATTCTAGATACTGCCCTCCAAAGATTTGTATGGGTTTTGCAATGCCATCAATCTTTCATTGTCAGCATTCACGCACTAGTCTAAATATACCAGAGCCAGGTGTGATGGATTAGAAGGGATATGCTACAGAGGAAATGTGAACAAATTAACACACTTTTAGGGCATGAAATTGCCTGAAATGATTAACACAGCCTGTAGTGACTGTCTATTTTAAGGCCACCTTAATATGAAAGTAAGTGCTATATATCCTTTGTAGAGAATTATGAATGGTCATTTTAAGGGTAATTGTATCATTAGACTAGTTTATATGACAATTTGGAACAGTGTTATATTATAGTAATAAATACAAAATGCACAGTCCTAGCCACTTCACCGAACAGTTCTGAAAAGTAGCCAAAAGAACTCAGAGGCCCCTAATAAAAGTGTGTTTGAAGCAGGCACATTACTAACAACTTTACACAAGCTCAACTGAAAGAGCTGGATGGAATAAAAAGGTGTGCTGCCACACACAGAACAAGTATTCAAAGCTGTGTGCCAATCACACTCGACAAAGGCAGAACAAAACATCACTTAACCATTACTTATATTCACATTGTATTTATGCTAAGCTAAAAAAGTGGTACCATGCTGCCTGTTTTATCACCACTCCAGATCCGAAACTAGGAGAGCATAACTGGGTATTTCCACACGACAAAGAAAAATCCCTGACAAATATAATTTTAGCTGAAGCCTATCTAATCCATCACCACAGACATCCGCAAAAAGACCAGCATGTTTAATTATTTATCAACTGACAAAATTCAAGAGGCACTGGATTTACCAAATTTTGTTGTACTTTTTAAATAAATGAGAATAGTCAGTGCATGATTGAATCGAAAACTAAGTAACTACTTTAAAAACACATTCAGCTAATATGCGAGCGATTTGTAACTACTTGGATAAGATTAGGAGCGGAAAAAGGCTGTAAAAACTAGTTTGGCTTGGGGAATGCCTTTTAGAAAAATATCATTTAAAACAGAGCCAGTGCATCTTATATTGCCTACAGTGCAAATCTGACAGTAGCTCGGTGGGATAGTCCTGAGACAGCACGCCCTTCGCTGTTACATGAGATATGCACACGCAGAACATGTGGCCACAGCAGAAAAAGGGGGCGTGTCATCCTCATTCATCCAGACAAGTGAAAGTGAACGCATGCGATATTCACCCTGCACTTGTGTTTTATTGCTAAGCTCACTGTTGAAAGCTCTATCATTGCTGTTACGCCTGACCTTGATCCAAACTGCTTCTTTTAACCCAAGAGGTGTTTCCCTACTTCGCCTTTAGCACCAAAAGAGCAACAGTGTTATGACAGAGGTTACACTATAGACATAACATACATTAGTAATAAAAAGTTAAATGGACTCACCGTCTTTGAGTCTAATTCGTGGTGTTGTTGAGCTAAGACTTTATCTACGCTGGCAGCATCTGTAAACGTAACAAACCCAAATCCTCTGCAAAACACAAAACAAAAGCAATGTTAGAGTGAGCATCAGAAAATAAAAGATTTGCTAAAAACAAAGTTAAAATACATAATATAAACATATCTGTTGACTATCAATTCATAACTAATAATAATAATAGCACTTTATAATCGCTTCTAAATGCCAGGGTAAAAATGCACTACAACATGTGGTATGGTTTTGACAAGCTTGAATAATGTCAGCAATAGAAGTTCTGCGTTTGGCAAATTTATGTGACAATATTGCAGCAGAGTTTGATAAAGGTCGCGCAGTTCAGTCAAACAGTGAAATGTTACTTGCCACTTTAAACGGCACAGCAGCAGGTAAAACACTGCTATGACCTTATTACTGTTATATTGTTTCTTATTACATTTCTTTTCTAATCCAGATTATGGCAGTCCTGGGGCAGATTTGGGAAACTGAGACCGCGCGACACTGCTGGACATTATTCCGCACGTTAGAATATGAGACGACACTAGACCAACAATGTGGTGCAGTCACAAAGTCAATGTCAAATTGCATTGGGCCGCAGCTTTACAGCAGCGAGCATTTAAGCTTATCTGGCTCGAAGTGAAAGCACACGCAGGCGCGCACACATGCAGGGACACACTGGCACACGCACGCACGGGCACGCACGGGCACACACGGGCACACGCGGACACAGCAACGCACACGCCGGGATTAATACAAGACAAAGTAAGCGATATGACTGCATGCACTGTCAAGGAAAAGTAGTGGGTTTACCTTGAGCGTTTTGTCGTGGGGTCTCTCATCACCATACATTCTCTTATTTCTCCGAATTTACTAAAATAGTCTCTAAGGCTGTCTGTGGATAGAGAAAAGATGTCGGGTTATTTGACACAGAAACATATGGGCATGCTGTTGTCACAGTATTTGAAAAAACAGCCCGCGATGCGCATAGGGGTCGAATAGAGGACTTCAGATGGACGGAGATCAAAAATAACAACGCGCGCACACACTACTGAGATATCCCATACAGTACACTACTGCACATTCGCACATAGACCGCCAGCAGCCACGGCGAGTACCCAGTCACACAGCGACGAACAACAAGAAATCCTGTGTACGCTGTAAAAGAGAATAACAGTCTCACCTGGTGAGGTTTGCCAGCTGAGGCCACCGATAAACATTTTACTGTAAGGAGAAAACACAACAGAAGTGAGTCCAGATGTCAGTTCGGCCATTTTGACGACTAACTACTTCTAAAAGCGACCTTAAAGGATAAAGGAAGACTATGAAAACACATTCGCGCTAAGTAATTCTGCTCTGTCTACATAAAAGGGGGAGGCTACTCTCGCTACGAAGCAGAGGTCTCTCAAACTGCTGCCGAAACAGACCCATGCACGGTATAAGTGCGTACTGTGGGGACAGATCCAGCACGGCAGTCGAAGTCCTCTCCAAGATGTTGTAACATGAAAAAAATCGTACCTTAAGCGCACATTTAGAGAGATTCTTACCCCGGGTCATGTTGTGAATCGTTTAGGCTTCCGGATGTGGCTTGACTCCCGTCTCCTTCCATATCTATTCCAAACTATAGGCTGGGACTACAGTAACAGTGACAGACACACACAGATACGGCAGGAGATATGCAAAGCCCCGCTATGAGAATATTACTGAGCCGGGAATGAAAGCGTCACACGTGGGATCAGCTCAGCCCCCTGCTCCCTCCTCCCTCTCGCAGCACGCTCTACCTTGGCCCGGAGGGGGCGGAGCCTGGCTCTGTCACCTAACCAATCCAATTGACGTCAATTCAGACAATCTGCAAACCAATCCTCCGATTTGTCATTTAATTAAGCAATAAGCCACTAGAGTTGAACAAGGCTTATTGCCCCTTTTAACCATTAGAAACACTGACAAATTTGAAAAATTATATATTCTACATAGACTACAACTTTATTGCATAGTAGTTCCTACTATATCACGTCTAGTAGGAACAGCTCTATAAGTTCTATCTAATTAATTTTCCTCCGCAGTAAAATATAGTCCCCTAGACAGCAGCATGAAGTGGGGCACTTTGAGATGGCTGTTAATTACGTAAATTAACTCAATTACTATTGCTCACAGGTGTTGTTATTTAGGAAATAAACAATTACAGATGCTTTGAGCTTCGAGCATTGAAAAATTTAGCAAAATGTCAATCAAAATTATTAATTTAGAAACACAAGTTTGAGAATTTGTTAGTCTTTAAGCAGGTTATAGCTTAATTATAAAAATATAAGCTTGACAAATGATAATGAATGTTATGAAATGAATCCAGAGAACTTAAATAACATAACCAATAAAATTATGTTTTATTAAAAATCAATACAGTCAGAAAAAATACAATATAACAAAGAATATTACACGGCCTGTCTCCCAGTGCATAAAACAGGCTTGGTTTATCTCTGACCTGAAAACATAATATTCATTTCAAAGGTTTATGAGATGAATTTTCCTTTGAGAATCGATACAGTATAAGACCTCATACGTACAGCAGTAATTATAGCTTTCTCTGTGTAGCTGACCTGTAATGAGCTGCTGGCCCTGCCTTGTGCACAATACTATGAGATAAGCTGCCTGTGCCCTCTGGTGACCCCACAGAGGACCATGAATATGTTTTGAGAAAAAGATCAACATTACAGTAAGAGCAGATTATACTGTCAACGTCACGCATGAATAAATCTCTCATGATATGTCATAATGCACCTGAAATAGTGTGCTACTTTGAACAGAAATGGAGTTTTCGATCTTGTCTAACACAGAAATATTTGTATGATTTTCTTGCAACTAGAAGTGAGATTCAGTTGTGAGTGTTCTGGGCACTACTACAGGGAATTTCTTATCTACTTTGGCAGCATGTTTCTGAAACAATGCCTTAGATAAAGCCTGAAAAACAACACTTTTGACAGCTCCAACAGTAACGATGGAGACAATGTCATTAGTTAGGGGACACTCCACATTGCAGAGGCTGTAGTAGATATTCTGGTTAAGGAAGGCACACATTTGAATAGAGAAATCCCCCTTCTGAGCGAACACTGGTCATGCATGTGTGTATGAAATTACAGTGTGAAAAACGCATCCATCTCACGTGTTGCCCAAAGTAAGAAAGAGATAGAGATCAGAGGGCTTATAAACTGATGAAGAAGCCCAAAGGAACGGCACACTTTAAAGGCAATCACAAGGTGTGCTAGGAGAAATCACAGTGGATTTAACACATGACGAGTGAGCCGAGTTTACGCACAAATAAAAACACCTCGCGTTCCATGCCGTAAATTCAAATTATTCAGTTTTTTTTCTCTTTTGAACATTGTTATCACAAACCTCTCCATTCTGTTGTGTTATATCACGGAGAGAGCAAAGTCAAGTGTGACATTTTACAATATGCGATCAAGGGTTGCAAACCAGAATAGCACCCAAAACAGACCTTATATGCTGTGTTTTTCTATCTTTAGACAAACGGAGACAGCACCGCATATAGATTTTTAAATTGAGTGCTGTTCTTGGCTAATCTGTGCAGCCACCACTTCTAGATAAAAGTGTCGAAAAAGCTTTATCCCTTTAGGTAACTTAAGGTTCACTGACAGATGTGGTTTCCTTTGCAGAAAGAAGAGGAATAACATTACCAAATACTGTATGCGTGCATGTGCAAACTTACAACGACAATGAAAAGAAGCTGAGAGATTTCCAAAAGACCATTTAAGCAGTATCAATGGAACTTTGCAACGTATTCACTGTCAGAATCAAAAAGATGAACAGCCCGTCAATAGAAAGTAAACGCATGCATGCAGAAAGGAGCTTGTAACTAACCGAGGCCTTTGCGTGGAAAAACTGGAGGATTTGTGGAGGGATTGAGCAGCAAGAGAAATAAAATTGATAGCGTGTGAAAGAGCTGAAGGGGGGAAGAGAAAGTGAGAGAAGTGTGTTATGAGATGCTGGTGTTTTGAGAAGCAAAAGAAGCATCCTGTTTCCTGTTGCAGTAATCATTTTACAGCCTCCCAATCTTCACTTGACCTTGGAGAAATTGTTCTTGGATCAGACGTAACCCCTTTTTCTCAACACACAATTTCCTTCATATTATCTCCGCAAGAGCCACAATAGTCTGTAGGTATGGGCTGTCGTTCAGGACTTTAACTCTTGAAATGCCAGAGGTGGAAAGTTACTATTAAAGGTGCACTATGTAACCTTACCGGGGGGAGGGTCTGCCACCTGCTTGTCTCAGTGGAGAGGGTACTGCTTTGCCTGGAATGTTTCACAGTATGGCATTGTTCTTTAACATCTCCATGGGGACAAGCACATCACCAAGCCAAGTTACTGGTCAGATCTCTGGAGAGCAGAATGCGTGTTTTTCAAGGTATTCTTGAAACAACTGTTGTAGAGTAAAAGCAAGAGATAAGATTAATGCTATACTGTGGAACATTCCAGGCAAAGCAATAACATCTTTTTGGAGACAAGTGTTCTAGCAGAAAAAGTTACATAGTTCACCTTTAAGTACTAAAGTTTTTCTGTTGTTTGAGTTGATGGTTATAATGCTTGTGTCAAGTGGTAGTTCCATAGTTGCAGTAGTAGTAGCAGCAGTATCCATTGTAGTTGATGTAACATATATTGTAACTTGAAAATAAATGTCTAAGTCAAATATTGAAGTTGTGGTGGTGTGTTGTTTGATCAGAAGCAACAACATAAATTGTATAACAGCATGGCTTGGTTAGCCGCCACACCTCACAATGTGTGTCTTTGCATACATTTTTTTTCTGACATTCAGAATTTTATGGGTCTTTCCTGGTTAAGTAAAGGTCAAATGGAAAAGATCATTTACTGTAATAGATTTTGAGCAGTTTCTTCAAAATTACATTATTTTTTCCAACTAAAGTTTGGCTATATCTTTAAATCTGGAGTCTGAAACCTCTCTCCAGTAGATCAGTAGTGCTTTTCTCTTATGCCCATATTACAGTAAAAATTAGAATCCCTCTGAGGGGCCTCTAGATATGTACAAATTGTCTCCCTCTAGTGTCCTCCTTCCCTTGTGCTCTGTCTCTGTGATAGTGTCGACTACAGCGAGGATAGAACCGGGCCAAAACATGCATAATTGACAGTCCTATTTCAGGAATTAGTCAGGGCCCAAAACTGCACCTGCTGCTCCTCTCCTTTCATATCTTCCCTTTGCAGTTTTCCTTTACATCAATATAACATTATGAGATAGGTGATGGTGATGATTTTAATAAATAAAATGCTTGTTCTCTTGTGTATTTCCCCAGAGTGGCTGTGTTAAAAGCTTGTTGACTGATGGTAATAAGTGAGAGAGGGAAGAGTGTGTTTGAAGTCAGGGTATAAAGATGTTCTGGTGATGAGTGGTTTCTATTCCATTATGGTGCTGTAACAACGTAGATGAGTTAATTAAGCTGAGCCAGAGGCGAAGCACCAACATTAACAGGTGGAAAGGCCATTCACACTCAAACATTCAAACTATTACAGTTTTAAAGACTCGCTTTTTGGCAGAAGTTCAATTTCATTCATTTAAAGTAATGATATTTGAAGGCATGTGGCTCATCCAGTAGATCCTGGATCACATTTAGATATAGTGAGTTCAATTTCCAGACCAGTTTACTTACATGTTAAAGATCCTATTTGATGCTAAATTGATCCTTGTTAGCTTTAAGCCATGCTAGAACATTGTTACCTCCTCAAAAACATACCTGGAGTTGTGCTTTGTTTCATTCGCACATGTTTGAGTAGTCCATTATTATTACTCTGTCTACATCTCTAAAGCTCAAAACCACCTTGTGATGTCTTTAAGTGCTAGTTTTCACGTTAACAGCTATCATTTACCTCTAGTTCAGTAGAGTTTGGCAATTCCAGGGCTAAAATTATCCAAATGATTCTAGTGAAGGTTTATGGAGTTCAAAAACACAGCGGAGCATCATAGGGTGAAACAGAGTGCTTGAGCGAAGACCTCAGCCTAAATATGCAGGGTTTGTGTGTTAAACATGTGTGAATGAAACAAAACACAACTCCAAGTGTGTTTATGATGAGGAAACAACATTATAACATAGATCAGAAAATAGCATAATATAGGCCCTTTAACATTTCTCTGGTTATCTATAAATATAAGCAACCTGTACAGTAAATATTTAAGTGTAATGAAAAGTACAACAGACTGGAGTCCACATTTTAATATAATCTAGGATTCATGCGACCCAAACCCCTCTGTGACATCTCCAGTATACCTTTACCCTAATCTCCCTGTTAAAGAGCATTTGAATGCAGATCCCTCTAGATCCGAAAGCGGTGTGACAAAAGTATATGACGACATCATTTACCTGCTCCAGTGGGCTGGGAGATGGGCCTGTGCCCCTGCTGCTCCCTGGAATGTTCTGCTGATGTTACTGTCGCACTCGGGACAGACAGGCCCATAGAGCTGGTGTCAACCTGATAACCAGACACAAGATTACAAGAGCAGAATGCACACGAATGAAGGCTTACTTCTCTCTCTCTCTTTTCAACATTCAGCTGTGTGGTAATGATTGTTAAAGCTCATTGAATTGTACATTGTAGGTCAGAGGAGTCCAAGGCTTTTTTTACTTTGATAGCCACATTCTATTATTGTTTTAGTTTTTCATATGTGTGCTTTCACTTAGCTCAACAATACATGTGAATATACACTTTGGTAACACTTTAGTTTAGGGGTCACATATTGTGCTTATCTAGTGGTTATAGTGAAAGTACAAAAGCATCTAATAACTCTTACAGTAAGAAGTATATGACCATTGAAACAATATTATTACATAATTTATAAATACTAATAATGGTGTAAATGGGCATGTATGATATTATATCCATATTAAATATAATATAACTGCCAAAACCTACATAATGCAAAGTCATAGCTGATAATTTACTGTGAGTAGCTGAGGTCTACACATCACTTTCTATGGGGTATTGGCTGGGATTACACTTTACACTTGCCAGTTAGACAAAAGGCTGACACTAGTAACACACTCTGGAAGAGGCAACTACTCACTTTCATTCACAAAGAACCATGACTTCACAGTGAAAGATATACAGGCTGCACTTAAACACAAAGTGAAAGGGAAAAAAACACAAGCACAGTACAATTATATGCAAAAAATGATTACAAAATACACCGTTGTGAAAAACATAAACAGGGTAACACAGGCTAGCTCAGATCCCACAATGTTGTTGTTTTGATTGCATCTTCCAGAGGCTACGAATGGTAAGCAGGCCTCTCCGGACACGCCAGCTAAGTGGTGCGTCTAGTCTTCCGGCACATTCTTTGTTTTTCTTTTTTCTTTTTTTTTTCAATCGTCTCCTCTTTCCTTACTCCATTTTTCCCTAACTGGCTGCCACAATGCATTCTCTCACTTGCCAAGCGCTTCTTATGACCTTAACATTGACCTTGCCTTGTCTTGTGCCATTGAGACGAGAGCTAGAGATATCCCCGGGTATACTCCCCCCACCTCTCAGTCCACCGCTGCAGGGATGAATTTTGCTAGTCTCATCAGTCTTCAAGCCGCTACTCCATATATTGCTTGTTTATTTTTTTAACACGTTCACTTTTGGGCTGATCACTGGCAACATTGCTCTTGGCACAAACAGACATCAAGCCTTAGTGCAAAGACCCAGGCTGTCAATGCAGATTAGCTTTATCAGATCAACTTTATCTGCAGCAATAGAGCGCCCATCCATTCGTCGGTTGGATGCCGGTTCAAAATCTGAGTCACCATTGCTAATGTGAGCCATTTTGTCCAGCCATTTTAGAGGGCTCTGCAGTATATGGTTTCACATGTGCAATATAAAGTAGCAGGACACGTGTGGATCTAGAGGTAATGTTGTCAAGGTGCTCGTCTTCCACTCAGCGTGAGCTCTGTTTCTGATGACATAGGAGTTTTGGAGGATTCTAAGAGCTTTTACATGTACGCTGAGTTCACATTCATCATGATGAAATAGCATCACAATTTTCCTGGTCTTTAAAGGGCATATTCCGCTATTTTCTGATCTATGTTATAATGTTATTTTCACATTACAAACATACCTGGACTTGTGTTTTGATTCATTCACACATGTTTGAAACACAAACCCCGCGTATTTAGGCTGAGTTCTTCTCTCAAATGGAAAACACTCCTTGTGATGTCATGTGGTAATACAGGAAGTGCTCCACTGTAGTTTTAACTCCATTCACCTTCACTATTATCATCTGGATAATTTTGGCCCTGAATTGCTAATCTCTGAACAAAAGGTAAAAGGTAGCTGTTAACTTGAAAACAAACCCTTTATGACATCACAAGCTGGAGCAGAGCATTTTGAGCTTTGGAGATGTAAACACACTAATAACAAAGGTCTACACATGTGTGAATGAAACAAAACACAACTGCAGGTATGTTTTTGATGAGGCAACAACATTCTAACATGGATTAAAGCTTTTTAGAGTTAATTTTCAGTAATATAAAGACACAGTTAAGACATTACTAAACTATCTTGTGTTTCTATCATGTTTGTATTCCCTTGAAAAATATGCATTCTTGTTGTAAGTGGGGCCACCTCTGCACAGATCTGACTTTTATCTTGCTTGTCTCCATGCCAATAAGTTTAATGCTATAGCTGCTGTGGAACATTCCAGACAAATCAACGACATCTCCATGGTAAAAAGATATTCAACACAAAAGTTACATAGGGCATCTTAAAAGTTTCTTCTCTTCTTTATCTCTTGTCTTGCTCATATCAGTGACCATAACAATAGCCTGAGTGTTGCAGGGAGGACAGAAAAAAACAACCAAGTCACTCTCAGATTCAATCTCCATAGAATATTCTTGAATCATTATTTGCTAATCAACTGAAGAAACTGAGAACAGAAAAAGATATGCAAACCACTCTGCTTTAAAGACCCCTAAATTGTTATTGTCAATTTTTAGGACTTACTGTTGAAGATCCCTTTTGACTCTAGATTTGAACACATTACACCGCTTTTTAGGCATATGCATAGACTAAGTATAAGTCATGACCTTTTCTCATTTCCGTTCCAGGCCTTAGAGGCTGTCTCTTCCGTCTAATTGCTTTTCCTTGATAAAATTACACTAAGCCTCATTTTAACTCCTGTAAAACTTTTGTATTGATTTCAAAAGCCCTCTGGCGCTTCAGTACAGCCAACTGTTTCATATCCAAACAATGGAGATTGTTCTCAAAACTCTCATATGCACTTATGGATCAGAATGGAGCATTATATAGCGGATATATTAGATTACAGCTGTGAAATTTACTTGAGTGTACTGTTCTCAGATGTGTAATTAAGATGGATGGCATGGTTCCAGCATTCTGTTAGAAAACGTAAAAATGCTACACAACAGAATGCTGTTAACATGTTTTTGCAATTTTGAACATCTACCTCTATATTGATGATCTATGTTGAATGTACTTTTGCCTTTGAGTCACTTCTGCCCCACAGCCACAAGAGGGCACTTAAAGCACATGTAATCATATAAGACAGTGCTTGTGCATGCATGTGTCCTCTATATATCATTGCTGATTTGGAAGAAATAAGGCAGGTCTATACCTCCTTGAAGCATATGTCTACTTCACTGGGCCTTTTCTGGGCTGTGTTAGTGAGAAAAAGGACCACCCAACTTCTACAGAGGTTTCTGTAAGGGCATCGGCTAATATGCCAGGCTGTTATCTCCGCATACAGTCTTGAGGAAAAGAGGCTCAGTTTCAAAGCACCTCCTAGAACCTATTATGGTTTGGTCCAGAGCCAGCCTTGAAAGCAGCTAGCTTCAAAAACAGGCAGAGAAAATTGACTTTTTTTTTTTTACAAGTACATATACACACAAAGATGTATTAAAACTGCACCACTCGGAAAAAGCTTGTGATTTGAAAAACGTTTTGCCTATAATGTCAGAGGAGTGTCAGTGGCTATACACCTGCCTCTGAAAATGACAGCATGAAAAAATAGCAGTGAGAGGACAGAGAGGTCGCAGGGTACAAAGAACAGCACTAAGGGTGAGTGTAAAAAACCCAGGCTGACTCTAAACAAGGCTGAAGAGTGGAAGCGTGGCAGCAGTAAATGATGCTAGCCTTCTACACCTTGTCAGTTATTAGGAAAGCCAGAACAGATATCTGACATTACTTTGTGTTTCTCCCACAAAGAAAATAATTGGCTTGCAGTTGGGCACGCTGGCACCTATACAGCACTCAGAGTACAGTAGATGTTTCAAAGTTCTGAAACTAAAAGGAAGAAAAAGAGAGATACAAAAGAGGAATGTAGAAACCTGATTTTGGATAAGATGGGCATGGTGTGAAATGCTAGAATTGAGTACAATATTTTAGGTTATGTTATCTGTTATCTGAATGAATGAACAGATGCGAAATGTGTATAGGTATACACTATAGGCTATACTGTACTGTAAATTGTCCACAAGAGGAGGGAAATATTTCTGGATAAGGTAACCATTACTAGGAGACTGCCTGTAAAAATGAGATTATGTTATCTGTATAGCACTGCGTTTCACAATTACTTTGAATTAGAATAAACTTTCTATGAAACAAGACCTACTGTGTGAGCTTTACACCATATTATAATGTTATTACCTTCTCAGAAATATACCCAAAGTTGTGTTTTGGTATGTTCCTTCAAAATGCTCTGTTCCACCTTGTGATGTCATGTGTGATTGTTCAGTAGAAATTGGCTTTCCAGGGCTGCAATTAAGCAAATGATTCTAGTGAAAGTTTATGGAGTATGAAAAACAGTAGTGCACTTCCTGTATTACCACATGGCATCACAAGTGTTTTCTGTGTGAGTGAAGAACTCAGTATAAATATACAGAGTTTTTATGTTAAACTTGTGTGAATGAATCAAAACACAACCCAAGGTATATATTTTTGATGAAGAACCAACACCAGAAAATAGCCTAATATGGCCCCTTTAAAAAAGCAGAAACAAGCAATGAATGATTCACATATGTCAGTGTTAAAAATATAACCGAGCTTAACCAATAGGTGCTACAATATCATCATATATCAGCAAAAGGTTTGTGAATACATTTGTATTTGGGGTAGTGATGCATATATGCAGCTATGAGCTATAATGTGTTAGCATGTGCGTGTGTGTGCTTGCATTAAAAATAGCTGCAACATTTACCACCAACTTCCTTTTCTTCTGATCTCTCTTTCAATGTTACTGAATGTCATTTTATCCACAATGTTTTAGTAGTGCAAACAAGCTAAGGACAAATGTGGCTAACAATGTCACATTATGTATGGCCATGAAAGGCACACATCTAAAGTTAGCGATTAGCATAAGCCTGTGGTGATTGCTACCTTTGCTAGTCACTAACCTCAATCTTTGAGAATAATGATCTTCTATTTGTGTTTTATTCTGCCCTAGTTTCAGTCAATTGTGGTTCTTCACGTTGGCAGGTGACAGCAGCTTCATATCACACTTCCACGCTGAGTCACTTGGTCACCTGTTGTTCTCACGTCATCATACCACACTCAAAAATGATGTTTAATTTGATGTTTTGTGTCCTGTATTGGCCACAAACAGCTTTATATAAAATATTTCTTGAAATATAAAAGCCACATTGCACATAACAGAGCATTGCATATTTGAAAGGTTAGCTATGTTAACATTTACTACACTGTTTAGTAAAACTGAAACACAGACTGTATAAAGAAGTGGACTAAAGTATGACAACACCCATATCGTCCAGTTCTGATCAATTGAAGGTCACAAGGTTATAAGAGTGCATTTGGAGCTGAGTTTTATATTAGAAATACGAAATTATAGCAGGACAAAAGAGCAAAATAAAAACACTAGGATCATGAGCAAGTCAATATGAACATTTTAAGACCAAAATGATGAGGCTTACTGAAGTAGTTACAGAGAGTGGGGTGACAACTTTTCAATGTAAAGTCTAATGAAGCCAGAGTTGATGGAGTCAGAAGCACCGCCATGCTCACTTCCTGTTTGGAACACTGTGACTAGCGGGTTAACTATGTCCATTTATATATACACAGTCTATCAGCTGGCTAATTTTAAAGTTTAAAGGTTCTATATTCTACTAAATGAATCATTCAAAATGCTTTAGACATGTCAAAATGTTGTTACCTCCTCAAAGACATACCTGGAGTTGTGTTTTGTTTCATCCGTACATGTTTGAGTAACCCTTCATTATTGGTCTGTCTATATCATCCCCAAAGTTCCACCTTGTGATGTCATGAAGTGGTAGTTTTCAAGTTAGCCGCTACTTTTTACTTTTTGTTTAATAAATTCCAGGACTGAAATTGTCAAATTGCCTGTATTACCACATGACATCACAAGGTGGAACAGAGTGTTTTCTGTCTGAGAGAAGAACTCAGCCTAAATACGCAGGGTTTGTTTGTGTTATGTATGATTGAAACAAAACAAAATTCCAACTATGTTTTTGATGAGGAAACAACATAATGATACAATAGATTGGAAAATATCATAATATAGGTTAAGAATCTACTATATAGGCCTACTATACAAACATATATAGTAACATAGTATAGTAGTATCTAACACATATTTATACTTCAGTCATAATCTAGTTTGGGAGTAAATGCTTTCTGAATGGCACTGCAAAGCTCATGTAACCCATTTGTACAATTTTCCATATACAATTTATGTAAATTGAAAGAAATAAATCTTCTTATAGCCCTAACTAATGTTTAATTTCAATTTATAGAATAAAGTTAAATTTAAAACAATAGCACATTTAGAATGATTTTTATTGAAAGATACCTTTCAAAATCACAGTCTTATCTCGAAGCACACAAAAACAGCAGCTGTTTGATTTGAAACTTTATTAAAATAATAGAAATAGATTTTCTGTAAAGAAATTCCAGATATGTAAGCCTATAGCGTATAAATTGTCCCTTGATGTAGTTATCCACGGTCCTCTCTTCTTATCACACTCAGGAGACCACTTCTGTAGAAAAGTGTGTGGGCTAAACTCAATGACATCAACTTGTGAATATTTTAACCTTTCATATAAATAGGCTGGCCAAGTGTGCTTTAATGCCATGTGCCGGTATAACAGTGGGTTAGCATTCCTGGAACGTTCAATCACCATGCAGATCATTTTCTCAGCGTCACTGAATCATGAAGGACACTTTAGTCTGAGATGTGAGCTAAATGCACAAGCGACGCTAAGCACTCTTGGAGTTTGCTAAAGAAAGTGATGCAACTTTGTCATGGCATGGCTACCTCTTTTGGCCGCTGAAAAGCAGGCACATGTCTGTCTTTTGATCATACTTCAATGAACGTAAACCTTTAAGACCATAACAAATGATAATAGCTAAATTTAGCACCACTTTGTCCATATTTCTACCTAGTTAATGTGCACTTTATGTAAATTCACAAGTATTTTTGACTTGACGTGTTAGCAGTTAACAAAAAAGTGACATCTCCTAAATTATGACACCCTTTGTTAGTCTGAAGTGCAAAATGTGCAAAAATAAAGTCTGTTCGCAAACCCCCATGCTTTTAAATCTAGCCAGCATCACAGCGCTACATGCCTCATTAAACGGCTAGTGGTGATCAAATGACATTTAACTGCATGATTTGTCACATAGTAAGATATTCTGTTTGCTTATTTTGCTTTAGACTGGATTATATTAGCTTGAATTTTGGGTGGCCTGTTTTCAGTTAAGTTAATGTCTCTTGATGGAAGATTTTTTTAACATAAGAACACAGGAAGAAGGCCTGCAAATTGCATTAAAAGGTTAGAGCTGTCAGCCTTTTGGAAACAATACAAAAGTTTCATAAATACCTCATGATAGAGGTGGGCAAAGAAAGTAAACATTTTAAATTGTAGAAGAAAAAAAACTGGCATGCATGTGCTTTTCTCTGTTTATTTTTCCAAGGCATCTATTGATCTTCAAAGTCCCTGTTGTAAAATAATGATTGACAGGAGGCCCAGACTGTGCAGGAGAGTGGAGCACATGGCTAATGCTGAGCCAGATCTGCTGATACCACCACCAAGATTCTGCCTCCTTACACTTCTGGTGCGTAGTGTGGTAGTTTTCTTCGTGTGGGCGGACGGGCTCTCGGTTGTGAAGTATGTGTTTGCAGCAAGTGTCACATCAGCTATATCTGTGATGCCGCGTGTATCAGAAATTGAGGAAGTTTCTGTCATCTGAAAATATGAATCAGTGTCTAAAAATTCTTCCATAGTTTGAAGTATTAGTTTGTTATTAGTCGAGAAGGTAGGGTACATTGGGTGGTATGGAGTGGTCATGTAGTCCTCGGTAGTATATGGCTGATACCCCCTTCCAGTCTCACTAGCCCTAGGGGTCATGGAGTTGTGGCCTTGTGCGCTGGCTGCAAGTGGGGGTAGATCATAGGATGCAAAATGCCATCCTCCTGTTCTTCCAGGACGCACTCCTCCACAGACAGACTGGGTATGACAGGGGCAACCAAGGACGCGTGCTGACGTTTGTTGTGCCCAAGACACAACATAGGTGACTTCATTTGGTACATGGCAGGCCCAGGGGTTACTCCCCAAATGTATGATTCGAAGTGATGTGAGCCTATCCAGCACCCCAAAGGACATTGTGGTGAAGCGGTTAGCTTGAAGGTAAAAGTGGGTTAGTCTTGATAGTCTGTCCAAGGACCCTGGTAGGACTCTTACAAGCAGGTTGTGAGATAGATCTATAATGTCAAGTTGAGCTGGCATATTGGTAGGGATTGTCCAGAAGTGGTTGTGACTCAAGTTAAGTGTGTGAAGATTTATTAAGGTGTTGTTTATGAAGACTGCACGTTCTAATTTGTTATATGACAAATCAAGAACTTGCAGGTTCCATTGATAAGCAGTGTCATTCTTTTCCAAAAGTTGCACCCGGTTGTAGGATGCGTAGAGCTGCCAGAGTGACCTTGGAAGTCCTGCAGGGAGGTGAATCAACCTATTGTAAGACAAATCAAGGACTCTTAGATGAGTGTAGGGCGTTAGATGGATATCCAGGTTGTGAAAACGATTATGTGACAAGTTAAGGGTGCGGAGGTTATACTGCAAACCATCAGGCAGTAGTCGGAGCCCTCTCCAGGAGCAGTCTACTTCCCGGTGACTACGACTGCAAGTGCACATGGAGGGACAAACAGCGAGAACGCGCAAGCCCAGCAACAACAGCAACAGCAATTCCAGGAGGGCCTTATTAGGGGAGAGCTTCAGCAGCACATTCCTGCAACAGAGAATGAAAGACACAGAGATATTGAAGTTTGTCATACATGGATAGACATCTACTTCTATGGCACTAAGGAAACAGCAGTCGCCCTGGCTTGGTTAGTGAGTATAAGGGACAAATATTTGCTTTCACTATGAGGGTCTGCAGAGGCAATGCTGACAGAAACCGGTGGATTTTTAATAACTTTCTTGCCTCTCTCTTGTTTGTGCACATCTTCTCAAACAAATGCAGGCGTGAAAACATATATTAACATCTTTTCTGCAATTGACTTTTCAAATAATTAAAGCTGTTCCATACATTTTCTGGTAGAGGGTCGTCACCAGCTTGTTTCCATAGAGATGTTATTGCTTTGTCTGGATTGTTACACAGTATTTCGTTAAACTTTTATCAACTTCCATGCAGCATGTTTTGTAGGAACGAAAACACTTGTAGTTCAATAAATGCAAGACAACTTTAATGCCATACTGTGGAACATTCCAGGCAAAGGAATAGCACCTCCAAGGAGACAGGTAGCAGATCCTTCGTCCAAAATGGGAGCCTACGTTTAAGCAAAATAATGTTGTAGCTTTGCAAAAAAAATAAAAAATTCTCTTGTCACAAAAATCATTCATCTTAGAGAATGAGAAATCCCGCTAGTCATTTTGCCTGACATCAGTTTGCGTGTTCAATCGTCAGTGGTTGTCAGTGCACTTAGTCCCGTGCCCTCAGAGGAACATGAAGTAGCTCAATAGATGGGTTTTATTAATGACTCCACAGAGAACTAATGCATCAGCTGCTTTAAAGGCAGAGAGAGCAAAGACATACACAGCCGGGAGCTCCACACTGCTGAGACTGCAGTACTTTTACCGTAAATGGAGTGCGGGTGTGGTACAAGGATAAGTGTTTTTTTTCTTCCTTCTATATAAAGAAAGCATTTTAAATTCCAACTCACCTTCTCATCTTATCATTCCAGTCACTTTTCTCTCCTCCTCTTTTTGCTTGCCGGCCCGTTCTCTCGCCAAACCAGCTGCTGAAGGTGGATTTTCTTCTATATAGATTTTGACCCCAGTTCCGGTAAAGCCTTTTTGGAGTCCTTGCAGCTTTCCTTGGCTCAGTTTTGAACGAGTGGCAGAGTGATGATAGTGTCTGTGTAGTATGTAGAGGTTTTTGGGGTTGGTGCGATGAGAGACACTGCAGGATGTGAATTTACTCGACTGTGCAAGTGCAGGCAGAGATGGGATGGGAAGGGTGGGGGAGAGGGAGAGGAAGGGGGGGTTGGAACAGAGGGGTCCCTTGGCTACAGAGCTGCAAAAGGGTAGACCTCTGCATTTTAAATAATGGAGGACTTTGATTAGCATTGACTGGCCGGGCTGCTTGTATTGTGATTAAGAGAGAACAATTAGGACTAAAGTGGTTTCTAATAGGGCTGCACTATATAAGAGACACACACGATGATAACTGTGTCAAACAGGGTCAAAATCAAAGCCATAACTAAAGCAATGGTAATACTGGGCTGCATTAATTGGTATTCTGACATTCTGAAGTTAAACATAATGTAGAAATATATTTGTCCATTGTTTTGTATGCTAGGGTTGGTTTGTCAAAATCAGAAATCTTTGTAGTCAGCTTTGGGGAACAAAATTGACAATCTAGGAATTGTTATCTCAAAAATCATATGTAAATGTATTTAGTATGTAGTTAGCCTCTTAGCATAATTAATTAGTATTTTTCAAGATTTTCAGTAACATACAATATCTTATATCTTTGTAATAGTCCCAGGATGGAGCTTATGACCAGATGTGGGGACTTGCAAGCCGTGACTTGGACTCGAGTCAGACTTGAATCACTATTTTTAGTACTTGAAACTAGGCTTGATAAAATGGACTAAGACTTCGAACTTGACTCGGACTTGAGGCATGTGACTTGAGAAGACTTGAGAAGCACTTTTAAATCTGATTTCTTTCTATTCTGACCATAATGATTCACACTAAGATCTTGTCAAAACATTTAAAAAGAAAAGAAAATTACATTTCTACAACTCTTATATACATTATAAATACTCAAATATTAATATAATATAATTTTTAAAAAGTGCAGTTTAGTTTAAAATTCATATAAATTGCAAAAATCTAAGCTACATTTGGTATTTTGATTAAGACTTGAAATGACTTGAAGTTCAAAGCAGATGAGTGGGACTTGACTTGGACTTATGGGCCAGTGACTCGGCACTCGACTTGGATTTGCCTGTATTTGACTTGGGACTTGACTCGGACTGGAGGTCAAAGGCTTGAGACTTACTTGAGACTTGCAAAACAACGACTTGGTCCCACCTCTGCTTATGACACTTACAGATGGAACAGGATTTGGAGAGAAGAACTCAGTTTGGACACTCTCCATCGCTCCATGTCTGGGAATAACATCGAGACTCTAGTGACTTTTGACCCCTTATGACTTAATGATATGCTATTTGTAATTGCAAACCATTCAGTGTAGACTACATGAAGAAATAAGAATTCTAAGCACTTTTAAGTCTTTGTTCTTTGGATTAAGTCTTGTCAAGGCATTTTAAGAGGAAAAAGTAGCATATTTACAGTTTTAGCTGTTTAGCCTCCCGAAAATATCGCAATAAATATCATATTGTGAAATGTATATTGTGAAAATATCGTATTGAGAGATTTGGATATTGTTACATCCCTAATCGTGAACCTCCCCACCATATCGTGAGCTTTCCAGTGATATCGCAATAAATATCTTACCGTGAGGTTCATACCATGACAATATTGTATTGTGCGACTTGGATATCGTTACACCCCTAATAAATGTACTTCCTGGGGAACCACCTCACCATCATGCAGTAGAGTCAAGCATTTTGAGATCTCAGAGGAGAGGTAGCTAAAATACAGAAGCAAGACTGTTTTTGAGAAATAACAACAGCTTTGCATACTATCACAGTTTTCAAACTCACTATAAGAAGGACTGTATGTACATTTTTTTCAATTAATTTTGTTTAACATACAGATATCCTATTTGACTTTACCATTATGCCAATATATCTATGTCACATTGAGCATGCTTATAATTCTTTTCAAAATACTGCATCAGTCCTTCTGCTATATCTCTTTGCAAATTCAGTGTCCCTCCCTGAAGCTCCAGGATTTATGGCTCAGGGCTCTCCTCCACTGCAGCTTCCTGCCTGTCATCATTAATACAAGCTCTGCTCAGCTCCGCACTGCAATGCTGTACTTCTCGCTCACATGATTAACTCCACTATACGGGACAGCCCACTGCAATAACAGATGGCTCTCATTGATAAAATATAGAAGGCCACAAAGCTGAACTATGTATCCTCCAGAGACTAGTGTCGGAGGTATTTGTCATGGAAATAGTCACAACAGCTATTTTTACAGAGTTTGTGATTTCCCAGCATGCCCCTCTCTAGTCTGCTCCCACTTCTGACTCACACTAAGACCGAAACTTATGCCATCATTGTCCAAACTCATGACTGTCAAACTGAAACATTCACTTTTAGTCAGTCAGTAAATAAATCTAAGAGGGTTATGAGAAAAACAATTGAGTGGGTGAGATATTTGTCTGTTTGTGTATTAACCTAAAAGTGAATAGTTGAGCAAAGCACTTTATCTACTGCTTCTTGAGTACTGAAACTGAGAGAAACCGAGTGTCAAATGTATTATTGTATACACACTGAAGCATAAAGTGGTTCTCAAACAGTCGTACAGACAGCTTGGTTTCGATTCAATATTTTGTCTCATATTGATATTTTTAGTCCTGGTTTGTGTCATTCAGAAGCAGTAATTTTTTATCTTGTTTAGTTATTCAGAAACAGTTTATGCTCATCAAGTCTGGTCCTAGTTCATATTAAAACTAATTCTGTTCAGATTTAGATTTCTCTTCATACTTGCAATTATTCAACAAATTCAAGCTTCTCAGTTCTTCTTTTTAAACAGGAAGTCAATAGACCATTCTTACTGCTATTTTGAATTAATATTGTGGTTAACAATTAAAAAGAGAAGCATGATATGCAAAATTTACATTGGGGGTCTGCATCACTTCTACACAAGCTCAGCTACTGATTCATCACATGTCACAACATGACACACAACTGTAATTACATCTTCTAAATGTGTTTGTGCCAACATCTTCAAATGATGACAAAAAAGAGCATAAGAGCAGAACACCAGCACTGCACAGAAGGGTGTGGGTGTCTTCCCCCAGATGTTTTAAATCTGGACATTTTTCCCTGTTTTCTGATTAATTTAATTGGCTAAAGTGTAATGCATAATTTTCATCTTTGCAATACAATTTTAAGTGTTACTGGGGGCCTTCTGATAGCTTTGGGGCCCTAAGCAGCTGCTTATTTTGCTTACTGGGTAGAACCTGCCCTTCTTTAGTGAAACAACAAAGCTGTATCAAAGACCTGTAAGTTTATGTGGTAAATCTTAACAAATAAAATAATGAAGTTCATTGTTGGCATTGTTTGCCTCTGGCTGAAGTCAGAATAAACTGGTGCACATTAAGCTCAGAGTAATTAACACATAATCCATAGAAACTCTGTTATGACGTGCTACTGTTTAATTCAGTCTGCATTGTGGTAGAAAACAAGTTTGCTCATGACTGAAAGGTGCAAATCCATCATTACGTCACATGGGCGCGCTGCTCCTCAGATATCGGCACAAGGCGGCGGAAACAACTCTATGCGCGTCTATAGTGGCGCGGTGAATAGGGTTTTGTGTGCGTTTGTCTGCTCTGACTGCTGAACGGGAGCGCTCTTTCACACTGGAGTGGCTGTGCCCAGAAGAGCAGCACTTCCTGGTTTACTAATCAGCTGCATTTCACTCTCTCTTCATACGACACAATGAGACACTAACAGTCACAAAGGGCCCAGACGAGTGGGGCTGATCACATGTTAAAAGTGAAATGTATTTGGAGCCTTGATTACAGTGGAAGGAAATAATGAGCATGATTTTCAGAATATTTGAATTTTTATTACAAATTGGGGGAAAAAAATGCCTGAATCAAAAAATCCAAATGTGTTTTAACAGCAATTCAAACACACTAAAACTGATGTTGATGTTGAAAAATAAGATGGTGTTTTGATTATAGCCAAGCTCTTAAATTGAACCACATTGAATCCACATTCACACCCACATGTATTTACATAGCTTTCTACTAAAGATTATGACACTACTTCCACTACACAATAAAATCTTACAATACATCAAAAAAGCTTATACCATAACACAAAATTCTATTCAAATAATTTATGCATAGTCAGAAAATCCTGAATTGCTTCATATCCAAGGCTTGAGTGCCCAAAATTTCAGTTTTCCGTTTTCAGTTTTTATTACAAAATATCAGACTCAAAGATATATGGCTCAGACACACAGACAAAAAGAAAAAATAAAAATAAAAAGATTCCTACTTTGAAGAAGCAGAGCCTATAAATTCTACAGTTTTAAATGGGTAGTCAATGCACTAGTTTCTAATATTAAGCTGTTTTAGATCAATATTGTGGTTTATAATGAATAAAATGTAAAATTATCCATATATGTTACACACTTTTATGTTAAATGTGTCCAAATAATTTCTCTTGATCAATAAAGTTTGCCTAAGTCTAAGTTTACCCAAAAATAGCTTTATATGTTCTTTAATTGACTTTTTTCTCTTGAAACTTTTTCACTCCCCATCTTTTGCTTCCTCCTTCTCCTCTGATGTGGCACTGCTCTTGCTGTTATCCACTTGGGACTTTTCGCCCTCCTCTTTTGGACTTGATGAATCTTCTGTAGCTGCTGCAGGTGTCTCCTTCACTTCCCCATTCTTGGCAGACTTTTCTTTCTGCTCCACTCCGTTCTCGCACGTGTCTTTTTCCTCCTTCTTCCTCTCCGTCCCTGCTTCATTGCCACCCTCTCCATCCTCATCACGTGTTTGATTCAAGTCGCTCATTAACACTGTGGTCTCCTTGGCATCTGTGTTCGCCTTGCTTTCGCCCGTCCAGATTTTAGTAGGAATCATCAGGTCTGAATGCCCGCTCAGCATCTTGAGGCGTCTGCTAAGTTGGCATACTTTCCAGGCCAGCAGAATAGTGGAAATGAGCAAGATGGTACAGGCAAGAATGAGTCCCCCAGCAAACAATAACAAGTGGTTTTCGCTTGAATAGGTTTGTTGGTCACAGGGGTGGTGGATGGAGCAATAGGAGGGGATTTTGGATTTGATTGGCTGGTGGTTTGATGGTCGGAAATCTTAGAAAGGAAAGTGCTAATATTGCCATATGTTTCAGTAGAGCTTGAAAAGGCCGTGGATGAATTAAGTACCTCAGTAGTTACATGGGCAGCACAAAAACCCAAAAGGCAGAGGAATATGATCAATGTTTTCATTGTTCCTGAAAGCATAAGAATTTATATTGTTATGGTATATGTAGTCTTTTTTTTTATATATATATAAACTAGTTAATAATTTAGCAATTTTATTGATCTGAACCACAAATTGCTGAGAAATGTTATTAATTTTTCATGTTACCTTTTCAAAAACACATTGTAATAATTGTCCTGAAAATCATTGATTAATTTTACCCGATACAGCTACAACTAACCATTAAGATTAAATAATAAATAAAAATATGGATTTATTACTCTTTCAGCATGTAATAAAAATAACAATGGAATTATATGCATAAAATTAGTAATATTTTACTTGATATTCAAAGTATGAAATGACAAATACACAATAAAGTGACAAAATGTAATTAAAAGGAAAGACTACTTACTTTTTTGGAAGAAAAAAGGTGGTGACTAGTGTGAACAGACTTGGTGACAATAGCACACAAATGATGATCTTGTGTCTGTGGCGCCGTTATGAACAATAATAGCAAAAGGAAGTGTGTCTTTAACCCCCTGAGGTAAAGTACACATCTGCCAGTAGGATTTTAAATAGATCAGCCACTTCTCAGTAAATCAGCCCTTTTACTGGTAAAACAGCAACAAGAACTAAGCTTAATTGATCAAGCATTTTATAAGATTCAGTCTAGATCTTTGTAATCTTGATTGTTAGTGTGGTTATTTAAAATGGAATAGTTTGAAATTTAGTTTGAAAAGATGAATGTTTATAATAGGCAAATAGCAAAAACAACATTATGAAGCCAAATGTTCAGGTTGTGGTTAATTCTAAATAGACTGTTGTCTCATTTATTTCTCCTATTCTATATTACTGACTGTACAATACAGGGATGGCATTGCTCATCCATTCAAACTGAATACAATTAAAACACCTGAATTTCAGTCTGCCCACTCGAATTCAGCAGACTAGAACCGAACTTGCTATAATAATATAACAGGAAGTCAGGACTAAATGAAGGCATTTTACAGTTAAAACCTGCCCCTAAAATCCTCAGAGATTTTATGGGCACACAGCTTTTACTCATATGAAAAGGGGAAGTAAGAAATTAATTAGAATTTGTCCCTTCACCAGTCAGGTAATGGTTATAAACGAAACCATAGAGTCAATACTGCCTGCTTTGCCCTTAAAACAATTGATACTGAAGGTTTGACTAAGGAAAAACAACATTCAGACTATAATATATAGGTCTTTAACTTAAAGATGTCTAATTAAATGCTACATAAAATAATTAAATAAATAAATAATAATAAAATAAAATTCATCAACCAACCATCAACTAACAGTTAAGAAGCATGTGGCCAAATAAACGCCAAAACGTTGTCACGATCAGTCAGAGCTTTCGGTTGCAGTCACACTGTACATTGAGTGTTTGTGCCACCTAGCGGCGAAATAAGAGAACAAAAATAAATAAATAAATCTCTCAGATATTTTCTGCACATGTCAAGCTTAATTTTATTGTCCCCCGTGGATGAAAACAGAAACCATACAGAATGGTACTCACATGCAATACAAAAATATGATTTTTACATAGAACATAAAAAACATGTATTGGCCCATTCTAAAAAATGTACAGTGTTTTTACAGTCTTTTTTACATGGAAAAATATAAATATATATACATCTTTAATAGCCAGAGCAGTACCTATTCAAAAATGTCATTAAGTAATCTTACATATAAAAGTTTTGTACAAATTTTACAGAGAAATCCCGATCCATAATTGGATGTTCACAAACAAAGTATTTACAACATGTACTGCAGTCTTACACAGATGCACCCTGACAGAGTCTAACAGTGACAGCCACTCCAACGCACGACACAAACGCAAACATGCCCTGATAAAACCAGCAATGACACGACCGTGCACGAGATGCCAGGGGAGGAGATAGAGCGTTCTAGTGCCCTCCTCTGGACTGACTTTCTACTACACAGCTTATGACAATGTGTTGTTTTTTAAGGTGCAGTTTTAAACCTGTTACCACCAGTGTGTTTAAAGAGTTGCAACATTTTATTCTTTTGCATAATGGGAGGTGTCCAAAATGAGTTTTTTTAATTATTACTGACTGTTTCTAACATATTAGCAAAAGTCATAGTTGTGCATTGAGATGCTATTCACCAAATCTTATTTAGTTATTGACTCCTTATTTTCTGGACATAGAATATGAGTGCACTTATACAGTACATCTGTAAACTGTGATTTGACCAGATGTTACAACACTGGGCAGTAAAACAAAGAAACCACTGCAAACATGACCACTCTAACTACCAAAACAATAACAACTGGTTCTGTGGACGTGGTGCATACAAACATATACAGAAAAGTGATGGTGGTCCAGTGATGTTGTACTCCCACAAGTATGTTTACTGTTATGGTTTTGGGGTGAGAGTTACCAGTGTAAGCAGTAGAGAGAGACAGAGGATTGGAGCGGACTTTCAGCAGGCACAGAGCACAGTGCACGAGTCAGTCATTCCCTTTAACTTCACATAAAATCAACACGGAAAGGCAGAAGAGAAATCCGCTGACGGCAAACTCAGTTACAGTTAGACGTGGAAGATCAGACCGGGGGTTAGTGGAAGCAGTGTCTGTCAGGCAGAGGCAATGCTTTGATCGATCCCACAAAGAGTTAAGGATTCAGGAGCATGCAAGGCAGACCCAGGCTTTGTTTTGCATTGCTTAAGTATTTGTGTTTTCACACAGGGCACTGCTACAACCTGCATGAGAATAGAAGAGAGCAAAGGTGTAAGTGGTTAGTTAGTTAAGCAACAGAAAAATGCATTCAGTGCAAACAAAACCTTTGCAAGTTAGTAAGATATTATTTAGATTACAGTTCTCAATTTGGAAAGATTTCGCTTTTTATTTATTTTACAAACCTACTTTAACAACCCAGTCTATAACCTTTCTAGAACATCATCAACATCAAGGACTCACAAGGCACAATTTCTCCATTCTCCAGTTCCTCTTAAGTGCATACCCTCACCCCACTTTTGGGCCCTGACTCACCAGCCGAGAAGACACTTTCAAAGTAAGTAAAAGGTATATTTTGTATTTTGAAAAAACATGAAGCTTTTTCCCAGAGAATCAAGCAAGTTGTGAGCTAACAGTTAAAAAAAAAAACACAGCCATAATCTTCAGTGTAAACCTATGTAGAATAGAATTTGTAAATAAATGAGTAATAGCTATTACTTCACATTAACACAAATTTCACATTAATATATAGATATAATATATATCATAAATATCTATGACATTATTAATACATGTAAAAAGGACGTAAGGAATGTTATGCACAATAAAGTACTTCACAGTTTTGGCAAAGGGCAAACCCTAAATACAACAGACGCATGGAAAGTACCAAAGTGACACATTAAGTGCTGAAAAAGATCCCTTGATGTTCAGTCACAGGATACCTACTCTGCAGACTTCCAGAAGTGTCCGGGGTGGGACAGTCTGCGGTTCAGTTTGGGCAGCTTTTCCAACATGTCCGCCAGCTGCGTGAAGGTCGGCCTGTCCCTCAAGTCATAAGACCAGCAGGCTGAGAGGATCTCCTGTGTGCATGAAAGTTGTGTATTATATATTTAAAAACTCTTTAATCAACTTACATTTCTCCTTGTAAAGTTTGATCAAACTTACAGTCACTTCTTTGCCAAGACTAATCTCTGCCAAGACCTTCTTTATGCCCTCACCGCTGCCCACCTGCCAGATAGTGGCTTCTACAGGCTGGTTGGTGATTGGCCAGTCTCGTGCTTGGAGCTCATACCATATAGTGCTTTAAGAAGAGCAGAATAGTTTAAACAATGCAAATATGTACTGAATAATATGAATTAGTGCATTTCTTACCCAAAGGCATAGACGTCAGCTGCACAAGAGAAAGGAAGGCGATCCTCATTGTTACCTGGACTCATCCTCTGTACGATCTCAGGCGCCAAATAACAAATCCATCCATGAGGAAGTTTAAGTTTGTTTTCACGCCTGAAGAAAAAAACCCCTAACATTTACCACTGAGACATAGTTTATTTACATTAACATTTGACAAAGAGACGTCCCAACTCAAAAGAAAACACCAACTTAGGCCCTCATGATAACTACTAATAGTGTTTTGACTTTACACATACCCTGATGTTCTGTTTGAGTAATTTACACAATATTAATAGTAAAGTAAAACACATTTCTATAACCACTATCTGCCTCACAAATTAACAGGTTGAGGGGTCGGCAACAATTTCACATTGCTTACCTGCCCTCCTGCACAACTCCAGAGATACCAAAGAGCCCAAAGTCTGTGATCACCACTTTGTTGGTGTCATGAAACACATTCTTTGATTTTAAGTCTTTGTGAACGATTCCTTTTGCATGGAGATAGCCCATTCCCTGGAAAAAACATTCAAAAGTTTTACACTGCAATGTGCAAGGTCAGGCACTCATCATTTACAACGGGGTCTCCTCAATAACTTTCTGACGGTAACCCTTTAAATTTAAGCATTAATATTAATAATAATCATAATAATATATCCTGTGTCAATTTATTCATGAGATATACAATTTTACATGCAACAGATTGGGAACTTTTAGTATTAGCTCTATTACTGCCAATGCATTTGAAAACTGAAAAATAAGTTACCTTTACAATCTCCTGGGCGATCTGTCTGGTTTTATTGATATCAAGAGTATTTTTTGTGTCTCTCACGACTGAATACAGTGTTCTCCCTTTGCAGAAACTATAAGAATATTGGAAACAGAAAAAATAGTTAACAAATAAATCTAAAACCATATGTGCCCATTTCCTATAATTATACCTTGTGATAATAGCCAGGTGTGGTGGGGCCATGCACGCGCCCATAAACAGTACCACATTCTCATGCCTGGTCTGCCTGTAGTTCATCACTTCTTTCTTAAACAGTTTCAGATGGTCCTGGTTGTTCCCGTCAATCTCCAGAAGTCGAATTGCCACTTCTCCATGCCACCGCCCCTTGTGCACTCGCCCCCAGCGGCCCTGAAGAAGCAAATATCAAGTGGTTATTAGCTTCTTCAAACAGGATACACAGACATTAAGAGGTACTAGAGGCTGGGTATAGTTTGACTTGGCAAACATTGATTTGGCTAATAGTGGGGTGTGTAGTAAATGTGAGGATAGCTCTGCAAATAGAAGTAACAACAATTGTACTACTACACAAATAACAAACCCATACTGAACCCACCACTACATCACACTACCATTTAGGGATGGGACAAGATTATGTGCCAAAAGATCTTGCAACATAATTTTTTTCCCCATGTGCTTAGATTTGGCTTAGGTAAAAAGAAGGCATTATTCAATAAAGCATTTCTACAATGACAGCAAAAATAGAATATAAAATAAATCAAAATTGTGAAATGAACCACAGAATTTGAAATCAAAATCCCGTCTTGTCTCATTCTCATGGACCCAATCTTGTATCTCATATTGTTTACCTCTGCTGCCATTACTACCACTACTTTCATTTAAAGATTTTACAAATTCATTTCAAGAAATGCTCCTTTTTTTAAAAATTTATTTATTGCAAATGTGATTAGATAAATGACTCAGGTAGTATAGATACCTTCCCAATGAGTTCCCCAAGGTCAAGCTGCTCAAAAGGGATGTTCCACTCCTGCAGGTATACACTGGTCTGACTGGCCTTTCTGGAGATAGGTCCTTTCCACTGGTTTCCCTGAGAGCTGGGTAAATCCTCCAGCTCGTCTGCATCACACTCTCCATCTGAGTCCACACTCATCCTCATCTCTTCTGCTTCATCTTCCTCCTCTTCCTCTCCTTCATCCTCCTGGTCCTCCTCTTCCTCCTCCTCCTCATTTTCCTCTTCTTCATCTGGGTCTTCTTCCTCTACCTCAATCTCCTCCTCTGCTTCCTATAAAATTTGAAAAATTTAATCAGGAAATATTATGTAAAATCAACTTTTATCAGGCTTTAACCATGTTATCCAAATCCACTTTATTTGTATAGCACATTTTACAAACAAAGCAGTTTCCAAAGTTTGTTATGCCAATCAATGTTCCACCAATGTTCAGTAATGATGAGCTCACTTGTATTTTGGTTGATTCATGCATATTTGAGTAATCCTGTATTGTACTGGATTTGAAGCTTAAATTCCTGGAAAATATCTGCTTATATATTCTAACTCAGAATCATTCATGTAGAGTTAAAACATTTTTTCAACAATAAAAACAAGTAAATCATAGTTTGCTGCTTATTACAATGGTGCCTCAGTTCTACAGTTTTGAACAGGGGGTCGATGGCCCCATTTCTAATATTAAAAAGATTTATAACAATTTACAATGAACAAAAAGTAAAGTATTTAATTATGCATGTTATAGCTATACTAAATACTAGAATAAACCACAAACTGTCTGCTTTAAATCATGTACTTTGTGTGTTTGAATGTTAATCTGCAAAAGGCCTGATTATAAACTAAACTCACATCTAACAGCTTGTGGGTGTATTACTGTTGATTCCCTTCCACTGACTCCCTAATTGTTTTGGCTGTGTGCATATCACATCTGTGAAGTGGTGGTATTTTGGTAACAGCAAAAGCTGTTGGATAAATTAAAAATTCACAATCAACAACTGGTTTTATACAACAAATGTCAGTTAAGCTTTTATTTTCAGTTGGTGCCAGACTTAACAAGAATTATTGACATAATTCATGCCATCTGGTAACTGTTTAATGTAAACATCAGTACTCGTTCATGGTATATTAGAGTGAGTTTATGACCGCATAATATTGGAAAAGATTGCTGCATGTGATATGGCTGTTAAGTACTGCAATATCTATATTTTAGATATACTAATAAAATAACTAACTAAATAATAATTTCAGTTTACATAAGCATTCCTTATTTTACAAACCAGACTGTCAAAAATAAAAACCCTGATTAAATTAAGGCTAATTTAATATTGTAATAGGAAAATTAATTTATTATTTAAAATCATTTATGTTAATTCAAAGATGAAGAACCTTGGTGTTATTGAAATTTAGTTTCTTGCAATATTAATTATTATTGATATTGCTATGTCAGTACTCTTGCAATATACTGTGTAGCCCTAGTGAGATAGGTGAGCCCTTACTTAATTTCGGCTCTCTGCAGACGTTAGATGGATTAGATTGTAACTGTCTAAAATATAAGATTATAAGACATCATGAAGAGATCACAAAGGCAATGTAAACCAATGAGTCATTTTGGAATTTCCAAGTGTAACAATTTATTTATTTATTTATTTATTTTTTTGGCCCTTAAAAAAATTAAAATAAAATAAAAATCTAATAATACACATTATATTACACGCATACCTCTTCATCTTCATCCTCCACCAAATCAGAAGGTATGTCCTCCGATGATTGTTCATTCCTGTTAGAATACAGATACAGATCATTTATAAGGGAACTATAGACAGCTTGTTACTTTTATTTGGAGGAAAAGTAATCTGCAACTCACACTGTGTCTTGAAGGATGTCAGTGTGCAATGCAGAAGGACTTGAAACATCTGTACAGAAAAGTGAAAGATTCAAAATTACACAGAACAAATAACTGGCTCCTGCTTCTATGAGATTTGCTACGGACAAATATGAAGGTCCAACACTACCAGATGTGTGACACATGCAATTCCCAATATCACCAACAGATGGAGACATTTTCCACAGACAGCACTAGACAGTGGATGACTGATTATTACAAGTATTACAGTTGTACTATAGTTAGCTATAACTCACCAGGGAAGATAAACTGTTGTCTATGCTGAAAGTAACAGGCAGCTTTTTGGAAAGATAGGAAAAGAACAAAAGGAATGTCAGGCTGAGAGTTAGTTAGGAAGGTTAGAGATTATTATGAAAATAGAAAATTACAGAGTTTTTGACCTGTTAAGAAGCTCAAGTCATTATGAAATATTAAGATTTAATTTAGGATCAATCATGTGTGAATACCTGGGAAGTGGAAGCGGTTGTCCCGGTGGCCTTTAGGGGAGGGGTTAGGTGGTGGGGTGGCACTGGGTGGGTTGCTCTGTTGAAATGGTGCAGGTGACGACGGAGTAGATGATGTCGTGGAGGACGGGTTACTGCTGGAATCAAGCTGGTTCATCACTGGAGGGTGGTCCTAAAAGAAACACATATTATAATATGAATGTCCCCCAAATAGCTATAATAATAATATTTTTCTGTGTTTACCTTTTTGGTGATGGCCTTTGGTAGCGTCCCAAACTGTGGTACTTCGGATGGTCGGTCTACTGGATTGTTTATATCTGAAGGGACTGACCCAGTCCTTCTAATTTTGGCGACTAGAAAAGAAATGGCTAGTGTCATGGATGCTATAAATGTACAACAACAGACTAGTAAACTTCTGTATGTGTGTTAGCCAGAAATTAAGCTTACTTGGTAGAAAAGAGATTCTACAGGAGGGTGCTTCCTTTGTGCATTTGTTGTGGCACTTGAATCTATGAACAAACACAGTACTAGTCATGAAATGTGTTGGATAATAAACTATTCAATTTGCTTAAAGGCAATGGTTGATCATTAACGCAAGATGAATAGACTGGAGTGAGGTAATACAGTATTTTATGACTTACTTACCGACAGTGTTTACATTTGACACCAAACATCATATTCTTCTGACACACTTGACAAGTCTGTGACAACCAGGACTTTGTAGAAAATCTAGAGAAAATACAGTCAAGTGTATATTTGTATATATTTTACTCCTATTATAAAAAAATAAAGAAAAAAATTATACCTGTGAGTGACTGCAAGGCCTATGTCTCTCCTCAGTGCTTGTGGGGAGCTGCGATGCACGGTTACATTATCTGAAGAACGGAAAATAATGTCATGTAAATATTATAAATATAATATTATAAAATATATTACAACCATATGACAGCGACACAAAAAAGTAATAGCAAAAATCAAACCACACTTTATGATACTATGAGAAATATGCAACTGAATACATACTCTTGATGATACTGTGCTCTTCTAGAAGTGTGGGTGTGCCTGAAGGGGTGTAAGGTGCTGTGTTGATTGGGGTGGCTCCAGGGGTCCGAGCGGTCAAAGCCGGGTATCGAGAGGGCGAGTCCTCACAGCCGTTCCCATTCACTTGCATATTCAAAATTAATTTATTCTTTTTTACAGACCTGTAGAGACAGAATAAGTTAAAAAAAAGCATGTATCGCTTAGGTGCCTCAGCATGAACCAGGTTACATAACAGCTCAATAGGGTTTAAGAAACACTGGCATCAAGGGTGACAGTCTTAACACCCTACAGTAAGTGGTGCCAGGATGTGTGGTTAATATAACAAGTACCTGTGTGTGTTTGAAGCAACTCTTTCTACCAGCTGTTGAAACATATTTGCATTATAAATACTGTGTATAGTCAGCATATACCAGATCTGTGTCAGCCAGTCTTTTTTCCCAGTTAAGCCTTTCTTATGCAGATGGGAAATTATGGATAAACATGTGGGCCAAGTGTGTGTGTGTGCTCGTGTGTGCAATCACAAAAGACACAAAATAGAACTAGGAACCGAAGAGAGGAGAGAGAGAGAGATTGCATGCTCCTTCCCACCCCTGAGTATTAGTTGTAGGAAATACTTCCTGTTTTGACATGACTCATAATCTCTGGGAATCTGTGTGCGGATTAGCTACAATCATCCATTCAGAGTAAACCAGCAGCCGACAGGAAGTGGGAGCATGTGAAATGGGGCAGAGCCACAGCCAGGGCAGGAGGACTGGGGGTCACGCTCTGCTCTTGTATTGATGGATTTGCCACTGGACATAATTATGACTTGCATAAGGAATAATGAGCGATGAAAGGAAACATGATTCAGCATTAAGTAATACAACACCGGCAGGCTATACTGCCCCCTACAGCTATATTTAGATTAAGCTAGTGTAAGGAAAAAAAATGTTGTGTTATTTATAGCCATAAGCAAATTTGAGCTATAGGTGGGCTATAATAAGGCTCTATTAAATAAGTAAACACTGAGGCCTATTGCTGCTCAGAAAAGGTTGGACACATAACTTAAGTCTATCTAAAAATAGAAGTAATGGAAAATATAGCACATTTATATGTCAGTGACTCACTGAGGAAGGAAGATACAAAAATAAACAAATGATTTTTTTAAATGCAGACTAATAATAGTGATTGTTTATAAAGGATATGGCTAACAAACTATGAAGAGACAAATATAACCACAGATTTGTATTAGAATAACTAAGGTGCACTATGTGACTTTTCTGGACTTGGTTAGTGGCTTCTTTTCATGCAGATGTTATTGCTTTGCCTAGAATGTTACACAAAATGGCATTAAACTCATCCCCATGTAGACAAACAGGTGACAATACAGAGCCAAGTTATAGATAAGATCTAGTTGCATATAAGAAATTTGAGGTTAAATATTTTGCTGTAGTAATGTTTAAATAAAAATGCATGACACAGTGTTGCTGAAAGGGGAAAAAAACATACCACATGTGCACATATTTCATGTGCAAATATGCACAAACATATTTCACTTGATTGCCAAGGCTTATTGTAAACTACATGAAGGGAACATACTTGAGAACAGGAGTACTCACTTGTTAGCCGGTGGCTCCTCAATACGGTTCCCCAGCTGCGACTCGTGGCTCTTGCTGCGCGTCAGGGTGATGTTGGGGAGCAGATGCATCACTCTTCGGGATGGAGGTGGGGGTGTGCAGGGGGGCTTCAGTCTGTGGCGCCTTTTCGATGGAGGGGTGATGGGGGGAGTGGAAGTGCGCCCATGGAGTCTAGCAGCATGCGCCAAGGACATGGGAAAGGGGTCCGTCAGGGGGCTATCTCCATGCAGTAGGGGAGTGTGGGCATCTGGGGTGGGGGCAGCCGACACGGAGCTAGAGCGCGGGTGAGGGAAGGTGGCACTGGGTGTGGAGGGTGTGGACTGGATGGTGGAGGGGCGTGCCAGAGGGGAGGGGCTGTGAGATCGGAGAGGGGTCCCCATGTTGCACAGCTGGTCAGCGGTCAATAGGGATCCACTGTCCCGTCTGGTGGGCTCTGACAACCAAGGGCTGCCATCATCTCTAAACTCACCTCCTAGACCAAAAAAAATGTAAGCAAAAACAACGTGTTTGCAAATGATTTATGTATTGATCAGGGACAATGTACATAAAGACTTTGATCAACACAAAACGGAAAATATGTTTGTGCCAGGTTATAGCAAAATTGCCAGTTTCCAGATTTCAGATGACATTCAATAGGCCAATGTAAAACTAAGGTTTGGAGAAAAAAAGAGATTTTTTGTAGTTGGATAATAGACGTTGTCAATCAGGTTAAGTATTTCGAGATCTCCCTTTCCTTGGATATTTCCATGTGACAAAGTAATCCAAAAGCAAACAATGAGAAAATACATGATATGGAAATATGGATTATAGCAAACCTGATTCAGTGGCACTCTTTAGACAGGAGAGGGCAGCAATGAGTCTGGCACATTCTTCAGAGCTGGAGTCTAGTCTTCGCATGGTGTCCCTCACCTGAGCCCCAGTCATCTGCAGCAAGACATCCAGAGACGAGTCTGCTTCTATAGCCTGCACACAGGAAAAAGACAAGAAGTGACTATCTAACTACAAAAATAAGGAAATGAAAACTTATTATTGTTATAATAATAGATTTTTGGTAAATATGTACTATTTGAAGGGCACATATCATTTAAAGTGCTGCTTTGTGAATAATTACGTTGTTAATATAAATACCGGTATAATATACTGTATAGAGCACATCACTAGCTCACAGGGTAAATGGTATTTAAACCATGAATGGATGGATTAAGTGTATTTCCTTTCACCAGCTATAAATACCACTGCTAATCCCCATTTACTTTGCATTGTTTGATGTTTGTAAGTGTTTAAGATCCTTTGTTAACCAAGTCATAGGTGATTAGCATGTTTTGCAATAAGTCAGATGTAATGAAACTTGAGGTCACGGGGTACACTGTGTACTGATATGTACTGTACTGCATACAGTGGGATTTGCTCCAGCTGAACCATGACTATAACAGAATGCTGTTAGGTCAACTGTCACAATATTAGAAAGAATTACAATATTAGAGTTAATTAAAATGTTGGAGTAAATAAATGTGTGCTTTTAGCCACATTAGAATGATGTTACTTCATCAAAAGCATACCTGGAGTTGTATTTTCTTTTGTTCACACGTTTGTGTAACCATTTATTATTAATCTGTCAGTATCTCCAAAGTTCACAATGCTCTGTTCCACCTTGTGATGTCAAGCTGTAGTTTTCATATTAACTATTTACCTGCTTTTACCTTTAATTCAGTAGACTTTGGTAATTCCAGGGGGTGAAATTATCCAAATGATTATAGTGAAGGTATATGGCCTTTAAAAAGACAAACTTCTTGTATTCTCACATGACATCACAAGGTGGAACAGTGTTTATTATTTGAGAGAAGAACTCAACCTAAATATGTAGGCTTTGTGTATTAAACATGTGATAATGAAACAAAACACAACTCCAGCTATGCTTTTGATGACGAAACAAAATTATAACATAGATCAGAAAATAGCCTAATATGGACCCCTTAAATGAAAGTGATGAGTTACAAAGACAGTATTTGGACAAAGGGAGACAGTTGAAGAGCAGGAAATGTTTAGGATGTTTGGTTTGTTTTATCATGGGAAGTATGCAGTGGCTTATCAGTCAGATTAAAACCTTGGTCTGACAGGGCAAACATGGATAACAACACACCACACCACAGCCTCTTTTATGTACAGTGTAAGCAGAAACACAAGGGGGTGAGGTGATGTCCAAAGTGTCATCAAGTCCACACAGAATTCAAATGATAACAAAAGTCAATGGTAATTTTCATATTTTGATCAATTCTTCTGCATTTAGGCTACAGTACAATATGTGCTAAAACAACATATACACTAAAGATTCAAATATGCATACAGGAAAAATAATGTTGACAAAAAGCCTTCAAATGGCACACTGTTTTAAATCTCTGCTCTGATAGACATTACATTTAGTAAAGAAAACAGCATAGTTTGAATGAAACTAATAAAATAAAACTGATGAATGAATAAAAGAGTCCCATGAATTACAGATGTTTGTTTGTGTTTGTAGTTTTAAACTAGAGCTAAAACAGGTATTTTTCTATAAAAAGACAGAATATATTGATCTATACATAGGACAATTTATTATCTAAATAATTACAATTACGATATATTGTGCAGCCCTAGTAATCATTCACAACAAAATCTTTTGAGAGGTGAAAAGTAGGTACTCAAAATGTTGCCTATAATATGAAAAAACTAAACTTCTTGAATAAGCCCTTATTTAGCTATGTGCCACAGAATCTGTCAGTTTTATGATAAATGAGGCTTTTCAGATTGTTGTCTTACTCAAATGTTTTATTTTTATCATGGAAAACAACTCCCTGTTTTGAACTCAAATGCCTTTTCCGTCAGGTCATCAACATGTCACTGGTGAGTCAAAGGTCCAGCTCAGGGAAAGTGCAGCCACGCAAACAGTAACTGATGTACACAACTCCTTTATTAAAAAATACTTAACACTGATACATTTTACACTACAATATGAGCTTTATCCTGTGAAGTCAAGAGAATCGAAAACTTCCCAAACTCAGTAATAAAAATAATTCAAGACATTTGAAAACGAATCATCTTAGAAAGGATAATGTAATGAAAAGACCATTCAAGCAAAATGTCATACCTCAATGAGTTCTGGTCGCAGGTTGATGATACGAAGCCAGTCTCGTAAGTGTGGGTAACCGTCCAGTGCCTGGGGTCTCTCTGCCTCTGGGACTTTCTGCCTACACTGCAGCTGTTTACAGATGTATTTCATTAGCTTCACCTGCAGGGAGCATCAGAGAGCACAGAGAGGAGAGATGAGCCACACATGAGCTTAAGAACTGAACAATGCATACATACATATACACATACTTCATAGTTAATGTTACTTATGAATGTTGCCTGTTGTACTAATACCTCATATGACATGTTTACTTAATACATGGCATGGACAGTAAGAGCATTGGCAGAGAGAAGAGATCAATAGTGAAATACAAACAACCCCTTATCCACCAACCCAAAGATCAGTGATTCAAACCCCACTCGGACCAGAGCTGTTGTTGTGTTCTTTGGCAAAACACTTTATCACTTCATCACACATGATAGAGGTGTGTGTGAGTGAGTGTGTGATGGTACAGACTGGCACTCCTCCCCAGGGAATTCCTCTACAGTAAAAGTTTACCGCCACAGAGTATGGAAAGAATAAATAATGCACAAAATTATAAAGTGAGCGCATGAAATGTTTTGTGTAACATTTGTACAATATTATCAGAATCATTTTTTTTAAACAATTCCTATAACTGAAGAAGTAATATTTTTTAATATTTGGTTTATATTTCGAGTTCTGGGGTTTTATCAAGAAATTAAACGTTTCTTATTTCATTTGCTCAAATAAGCTTTTTCTCATGTATTGAAGTTATTTAGCCTAATTAGAAAATACTACCAAAACCAAACTTTCAATTAATTAGGCAAAAATATTCCAAATACAGATAAAAGCTTGTCTATCTTTGAGTGAATCTCTCAGAGTGGCATCTGCCCACTGTGTCAGATCATCCCTAAAGTCAAAAGCAGCCGTGACAGCTGATATCTGAAGCCTGGAGACTCTATCCCGATGCTTTCTGAGCCAATGTCAAGTGCAGTGGTCCTGTGAGTAACTATCACAATGAACACCATGGTATTGGTTTGCAGCAGACCGCATTGTGGATCCCTGCGCTGTCGTCTAGTGTGTCTTCTTATCTCTTGGACCATCTTTAAGAATCCATTACAGACATAGAGGAGCACTAGGTAGGTTCAGGGCACCTCCGAACCAGCCAGGCAACACCAGAAAGTAGGGCTGCAAGATTAATCGCAATCGTAATCTCAATTTGAATGGATGCATTTAGCAAACTGTAATTCCTTACAAACAACTAAATATTGTCTTCAGGTGCAATCACGCTTGAATTTGTTTGGTCCTAGTTTGAACCCAGTTAGTTTTGATGTAGACTTGGTTTAGTCCCATTCTAGTCCTGGTTTGGCCCTGGTTTAATCCTGGTCTAGTCTAGGTTGGGTTTAGTCCCAGTTTAGTGATAAATTTGATGTGGACTTTAAATGCACCCTTATTCTGCATAAAAACTGCTGAATGTTCTGAAATGTGATTCTTGTCTTTGTCAGTTTATGTCTCAGTGTTTTTGTCAATTCTCCTTGATGTGTTTATAATATAAACTTAAAATGGTTGTCAGAAAAAAATGCAATTAGATATTTTCCTCAAATGGTTTGGCATGCTCTCGACCTGAACACTCTCTCAGCAAAGAAGTGCGAGAGCCTTTTTCTGCTTTTTCTGTGGAGTTAGTTGAATAAAATCTCTCAGTCGAGTTGTGAAAAGTGCGGCCTTGGGATGTAAAAAGGCCGCTGCATGGCTGTTAACAAAAACCACTCGAGTGAAGGCAATAGAGACATGAGAGAGTGTAAAGAGTAAAGACAGGTGCTGTTAAGAGCTCAACAAGTGGATTCAATGAGCACTATTGTATTTAATGACTGGGCTTATTGTTAAATGAAAACAGGTATTAATCAACTAAAAGATTCACAAGAAAGTAGAGCTGTCAAAAGTATTCATACTAAACAATAAACAAGCACTGAATCTAGATACTCATTTGACAAAGCCTCTCACGATAATTAACATATCAACTTATCGTTAAATATATGAAATCTGGAACAATATATTTTGAGGTTCATCTTTTATTATGTGCACATTTTCTTTGCCATAGTGGAGAGAATGATGACAACTAGAACAAGACCATAAAAAAGTACTACAAGTCTGTGTTGAAAATGACTATATTATCTGTAATTAAGCATTTTCAAATTGATATCAGGTATCAAGCCTATTCTTAGTTTCAAATTTTAGTCATGAGTTTAGTAATGTGGTGACAAGGCTACAATAAAGTAAGGACATTTAATTTTTTCTTAAGACGGTAAATGATTCTTTAATTTAATAGGTGCATTTAGCATTCACACTGACATAAAGCCAAGCAATAACATCATACGTAATCTGGGCAGTTTGACTTATTGTTACTTAAAAACAAGTGTATACAGTACAATATAAGCAGATTTAATCAAGGAATAGAACAGTGGTAAATTTTCCTCACAGGTGTTTCTTTTGCTTCAGACAGACTGGAGAACAGATTTTTGCATGACATTTCCCTAAAGTAACATGCAAACACAGGTATATTGCATGATATAAACTGCATATAAATGAAGCACTGTGGCATAGTTCTGAGGTATAAAAGTAAGACAAGTGAAAGTAAGGAAAACAAAAGAGCAGTGCAAGTTAATTTAATGAGTAACACTTTAACTACACCTAACTCTTGTAGAATAAATTGTAGTAGCCTGAGAGTTGAAGAGAAGAGTTCCATCACCGGAGAATTTATTTACCATCAGTACGGGACCTAGCACCCAGAGACATGAACCCTCTAGACTTTGTGATAGTGTTGTCCATTCCGGACTAGTACTGTCCAGTCTGGCTATGCTTTTGTTGTAGGGAGTATTATACCTCTGATGATGCCGGCTAAGATAACAAGGACTGAGCTGGCAGTAAGAGCCCTCAGTACAGCACAGAAATAGAATTTCTCTAACACTAACAAGCCTTAATAAAACATTAACAAAGACTTAATTTATATAGAACTAATAATAGTTGAAGAATGATTCAGGCACGTAACCCCTAACCATAATCCCTTAAGTACTTACCAATCATTTTAGCAAACAATTAAAAACATGTGTACGTATATGTTTATGTAAATGTTCATTATAAATCAAGTCTTCCTTTATTTGTTATTAGTTAAGCTAGTTAAGGTTATTGTTATAAAGCATAACCACTGAAGGTAGAATTCCAGTATTCACGTAAAATTCTTAGAGTATAAAATCAGTTAGTTCCAATTTGAATAATCGTATTGAAAATGGTGCTAGAATGAGATTGATGGTGCAAACTGCAGCTAACAAGCTAGCTAGCCTCCTGATTTAGCTCCATACACACCAGTGCACTGGCCCTGTGACGTCAGGTTACCTAGCAACCCCTCTTCTGAGTCGTCAGCAACATTTCAGTGGGATTTTCCCCATATATGTGAAACAACACGGCTCTGACACAATCCTGCTTGACATTCAAAATCCACCCTTTCTCTGCAAGATAGGAGACCGCTAATGAACAGGACATGCAAATTTACCCTCAGACTAATTCATGGATTTTTATGAAAACCCCCAAACTCCCCTAGATATCACTAATGTATTGGTGTATAAAGCTAGGGCAGGTACATCAATAATGAAGAGATAATGACAAGGTCCATGCTTATTCGTTTTGTTGCAGAGAGTGGAAAGAGCAGCCTTTGACGTGTGGCCTGGAGGTGGGAGGAGGGGGAAGGATGGCGTCAGAGCCCACCTGTCAGCCCAGCTAAACAACACCATGGCAACGGCCTAATGCTGCAACACGGGGTGACTGACAAGACTTTGAGAGAGAGAGGGAGGGGGGCAGCTCTCAGCAGCAGACTTGACTGACACAGCAGAGTCAGGCAGTGCGTACATGAATCCCACTGCTCCAGTTGTTTCTCTATGACTGCTGCTGACACAGACACTCGGCTGCACCTGCCGAAGATATAGGCTTGTCCATCTGGGAACAAGAGCTGGGAAAACGATATTTGCTACCGGAAGGTCAAATCAGCTGTTTTGACTCAAGAACCAAATCTGAGATGAAAACCTGTGTAATATGCTACATTTAGAAATATCAGATAATAAAAGCTGTGGTAATATAGAGTTAAATACAGCAGCCTACATGGAATGTTCTTGAACAAGGCTGATAAAAGACAATGGTTAAAATGGTTACGCCTTCTAAATAATACTGACGTCAGTTGTGACCTCTCACACTGGGGTGACGGTTGGAAGCTGACTGTTGTTTAAGGTTGTGTTAATGGATATGTTACAAACACAGAATGTCCTGTTTTTGCAAATAATAAAAATGTCTCCATGTCTTCACCATGAAGTGCTTTTGCACATTTGAACCCTAACCATCCAAACAAACTATTTGTTACTTTATTTGGTGGGCACAATGCACCTTAATGAATTCATCCAAGATATTTAATCTGGTAGTAAACATTATTTGTGTACATCACAATCAACACACATTACAGAGCAGTCAGTGAAGGAAGCATCTGTCTATTAGCATCACATTACAATTAAAAAGTGCTTCTAATGAGTCTGAATAGACCAACAACAGCAGTAATAACTCTTTATGAAAAGCAAAAATCGAAAATCCTAAACTGAGTACTTTTGCAACTGCTACTGGTAATACTCCAGACTCTGCTTGCTCCACCGTGCCAACTACTGTGGTTTTCAAACCACTGCACTTAAAAACTTTTTCTCAACATGGCAACATTAAGACTTGTAGACATTTTAGAGAAGGAAACGCAGATGGGGTCAGAATTGCTACAATCACTTGAGTCGTGTTTCCTCACTCCCTATTGTCTTCACAGGCCCCTAATATAACACACACAAACACACAAACACACAAACACACACGCAGAGCAGTTATGTCATGAGAAGCAGCCCCTCCAATTGGCTTCCTCTCTCCCCTCCCCTTTCCTCCCTGCTCTCCCCTCTCACACTGGCTCTTTGCGCGTCATTTGATTTTCTTATTTAACAACCAACCCTGAAAATGCGTAGGAAGAAAGATCTAAATATAGACTCAGCCACAACAGCTAGCAAGCGCGGAACAGCAAACTCTCCCTTCCAACACCGCGAGAAGACAAAACAGAGTGACGCGCT